ATTTTTCATTTTTCTTTAGTATAACGTTTAAAAGTGTATTTCCCATCATTTCTAGGGGGATACTGGAGAGAGTCGCGGTTTTTAGGTATTGATTCTTATTTTTTGCCTCTGAAAGTTTGCTTCTCATTTCGCGCTAACGCAACACTCCAGATGAACCTACCCTCCTTCTCACCTGTGATGGAATTTCAATTCAATTTCGATGACTTCGGAAACGAAAGCTTTGGCGTTTACGAGATTCACGTAGATTCGCAGGAAGTTCCGTTCACAGAAACGTGGAATATCCGGCCTTCGGGACAGACATTTTTCGTGACGAAAGAAAACAGCTACATAGTGAATCTCTCCGTGAAAGACTACAGTCTCCTGCCTTCAGGAAGTAAGTGCAATGCGGACAGGAACTACGACTACCAGAAGGTAATTTGAGTCCAACCCTTCAGTTCCCTTCCCTTTCCAGAAAGGTGACACATTAAAGCGTATGTATGCATTTCAAACCCACAGTGCCTGGACGCTGCCCTAGGGGATAAGTTATCGAAGGAAGCCCCGTGTTTCATACCTTCCCTGTTGCCAAGAAAACGCGAACAGCCTAACATGGAGCGCCAATGCAACACCTCTGATGAGGTAAATAATTTGGGCGCCTACTATGCTGACTTACAACGTTCTTTCCAACCTGAATGTCAGATGAAATGCAAGAGGATGGCGTACAATGTGATTCCAATGCAAGTGTCCACCTCCACTCAGGGTTCGATACCAGGCTTGGTCCAGTTCATCATCCCATCTGCCGAAGTGAGTAGCTGAAGTTGGCAATTTCAAAAGGTTTTCATTTCTATTCCGGCAGAGCGAAGTGCATGAAGTAGATGGTAGTTAGCGATATCAAGAGGCGATTCCGCCCATATCAATATCACGTGTCGAGGTAGAGGGTTCCTTAATTTTAGGGTAGGCCTAATCCTCTTGTAGCTAAATACTTTTGCATTTTTGTGATTTTGATTTGTTGTCTCCTAGTTGCCTAATGCTTCGTTCCAATCTTCAATATTGCCTCCCACCTTTCTGCTTGTCCATTAAAGCATCCAATTTCTTCTTAAAAATTGTCACAGAAGGGGCAGCCATATAACACATATATTCATGTCATATAACACATTTTACGCGTTCATGGTTTGCATAACTTGAGTTGATTTTCTCTCGTTCTCTTGCTGTCATCAAACTAGAAAAACCTACCACTCGACATTATCTATTCTTTTAATTACCTTATGAGCCTGGATGAGATCGCCCCTCCTTAACCTTCCTTCGAGCGAGAGAGTACAGTCCCAATCGCTTTTCGTACGGAAGTCCCCTAACCTTCTTTATCATTATTGAGGTCCTCCTCTGTATCCCCTCGAGCGCCACCAATCCCCCTTATTTGTAGGCTTCCAAAACTGGATGCAATATTCCAACTGGGGTCTTACCAGCCGCATACAAGGGAAGCATAACGCGCGAAGTCCGACTTGCAACCGAACGACGAATGAAACCTAGAATCCTGTTGCCTTTGGCCACCGTCGCTTGTGCGTGCGAGGAAAAATTGAGGTCATTGCCGAAAGAAACTCCAAAATCTCTCTCTCCGTTCGCCTCCCCCAATTTAACCTCGCCGAATGTGTGTAGAGACCTACAGATATTTCGACCAACATGGAGAACTTTACACCTTTTATTAAAACTCATGAGCCATTTCTTGCTCCACTCGTCCAAAAGACTTAAATCTCTCTCGGCTCCTATCCGCTTCCCCCCTTATGGTAAAACCTATCCTGTTGTCGTCGGCAAATTTACTCATCTTACCCTCTACGTCGAGATCCAAATCGTTTATGTAGACAAAAAAAAGAAGCGGTCCAAGGACCGAGCCTTGGGGGACACTGCTTACGACCCCGACCTCCTTCGACGCTTCCCCAGTTATAATCATATTGCTCTCTTCCTGTCAATCAGCTACTGATCCACTCGCTCGTCTTACCCTGGGTCTCGTGGGCCTCCAGTTTGACCCGCAACCTCTTGCGAGGAACGGTATCGAAAGCTATCGTGAAATCTAAATAGACGATGTCCATGGTATTCCCAAGAGAATCATTAAGAAAACCGGCAGAAAAATATATGTTTCGCTAAGAATTATATTCGAAAGCAGCTATTCGCGCGGGGAAGTACCTATGGACTGCAGACTAGTAAAAAACGTCNAGCGCGTTTCCTTCGAGGAAATTAAAGAGATGGTCCCTTGTATGCTCACCATGATCTTCCCTGGGATAACTCGTGAGACTTACTGGCCTGTAATTTCATGGATTACTCTTTTCGTCCTTCTGAAACATCGGTTCGACGTTTTTTGCTAGTCTGCAGTCCATAGGTACTTCCCTGCGCGAATAGCTGCTTTCGAATATAATTCTTAGCGGAACATATATTTTTCTGCCGGTTTTCTTAATGATTCTCTTGAGAATCCCATGGGGGCAGGTCGCCTTGTTCACCGCGAAACTTCCCTATCATACTCCCTATCGTCTTCTCAGTGATGGAAACTTCCTCGATGCGCGCCGATGTCACCTCCTCCAAAGTCGGTGCTTCGTCGTTTTCGACAGTGAAAACAGAAGTGAAACTTTTTTTTCATTAGAGGCCCGATCGACTGTTGACACCTACCACTAGCATTCCGATAAAAAGCCTTGGGGTTCTTCTTAGCATCGTGAGGCAGCCTCGACCTCCAGCCTCACTGATCTAATATCCCGCTTCAACGTCCGCGTGAGGGCCTTATATTCCTCATAATCTGTTCTTTCTCACGTGCGCTTGTACGTATCCCATTTTCGCTTCTCATCCCTGATGAGTGCTTTGATTTTAGCCGTGAACCAGACTGGTTGCCTCCCTGATTTCATGGAAATGCATTCCTCCATTAAAGCCCTGCAATAACGCCTTGAACTCCCCCCATTCCTCCTCTACCGTCAGCCCACGGAACTTTCACTCTCAGTCGATGCCCGAAACACGTTCACGTAGTCTCTCGAAATTAAGCTTCTCATAGTTGTACGAAACATTCGTCGGTTTACCATTACTCTTCGTCCGCTTGATATTCCACGTGATCGCGCTGTGGTCCGAATCTCCCAAATTATTCTGTACCTTAACACCCAGTGCCTTGTCGTCGTTAGTCGCGAAAACTAAATCCAGTAAAGCTTCCTCGCGAGTCGGTTCTTCCACGTATTGAAAGAGAAGAGCATCTTGAACCGCAACCAGAAAATCCCAATCTGTTTCGCTTCCCCCCTTGCGTCACCGATCAATCTATGTTAGGCATGTTAAAGTCTCCGAAGAGTAATACCTGCTTCAAGTTGTCACTGCTATGTACTCAACTCGAATGACTTTCGCAGTGATATGATAAGCATTTAGGGTTCCAGCATGATAATGAAAATATACGTTCTCCAATGTGTTTCAGGTTGAGATAGTGGAAGAGCAGCAGCTGACATCCCTACCTCAGTTTCTCTCCGACATTGGAGGGATGGTCGGGCTATATCTGGGATTCTCTATTCTCGGTCTCTATGAATTCTTGGAAACTCTATTCTTCTGGGTCAAGTCCCGATTCTTCAGTACTGAAATTCGAGCCGTACATCCATGAATGAGAAGAGTTAAAGACCTTGGATGAGCCTCATTTCCTAGGCATAAACGCTGTAAGAAGTTCAAAATTTTTTTTTTGTTCAGGCGTTCCTTAGCAACATTTAGGACATGTGACAAAAAACCGCTAAAATAACTCTTCAAAAATAATCCCATGAGCCATTGGGTCAATGTCTCACCCCAAGATAGAAACGCTATCATAAATACTCTTCCTTAACTTTTCCCTCTTCGACGATACGAACAAGCATTGCATTCAGGAAAACCTTAGAAAAATGTGGTATTTTATATTCTAAGTAATATGAAGTAGCTGAAAATACTACAAACTTATGGGTTAAACAAAGATACCTGCTGTTCATGGATTTTTTTTTGTCCTGAGCGAATTGGAAACGCTGTTGGGGAAGGCCGACGAATACGCCATTCCCTTCCGGAACGTGCCTCGCCTCGTGCCTATTCTCTCTGTTATGTCCCAGTGTGACCCTGATCATGGAATGATGTGTTAGACCTGTTTGTATAGATCTGTGCTGTGCCTAGGCTGTATGTGCTTCGGCCTAAGCCTAAGATTGTAAAGTGAGCAGTCCCAACGTGTACAACTTGCTGTCCAGCAGTGAAAGTTTGTCATTATTGTATGCATGGCATTATTGTGTGATGTGCTTCCTTGTATCTTCACTGATTCCTTTTTGTAGGATCCTTCTGGCTTTTTGTTTCTTGTATTAGTTAAACGTTGAAAGGTTACATGTGTTACTGCTGTGCGCGAGTCATAACCAACTAGTTTTGATTTCAGCACCGACTGTCTTGAGGCGCAGAACCCATGGGCCTCGCTACCCTTCGGACTCCCTTTTCACAGCGCAATATAAAATCTCGAAGCAAAGTTCATGCTTCATTTCGTTAAGTTACTTGACATTCAGAAAAAATCCAAGAAAATGAACATACCGATAACCATCCCAACGCAAGATTCATCTCTCCAAGTTTGCATCGACTTGGTCGCCCTTGTTCAGATTGAGGAGAATAGAATTGCCTGATGAACCACTGTCTTACGTGAATGTTGATACTCAGATTGATCGATTATATCTCAATCTCACGAATTCATTATCTCTATAGACCCAATTGTGATGAAATGCGTAAATGCCACTCACGGGTGCAGTGAACATCCAATTGCCCGTATTCATCGCTCCCCTGTGATTAAGTCAGGCCCCATCATAGGTGATTCTGTCTTCAGAGGATCGTCCACTTGTTCTATATGCATCTAAGTAAACGCTGTGTTGTGCAATGTCGGCCTGGTGCGCCGCTTGTACAACGTGGAACTGAAACTGGTTCCGTCTCTTCCAAATTCATCCTACTTAATGATCACACCACGTATATGACAATGATCTGGCATGACAGAATTAAACTAAGTAAATAAGAGTTTCGTTTTCCAAGAGTGAATCGATACGATTTCTTGGTAGTTAGCTGTTTCAAAAGAATCGCTAAATAGTGAGTAATGTTCTACACATCCTCGTGTACCGCTAGCTTGAAGACAGACCCATTGCAAAAATGAAAAAGAAAAAAAAAGCAAAATAAAAAGGAGACTTGATTGTCAAAACGTGAGGCCGAATCCTCACCGGCTTCACAAATGGTTCCCCATAAGAAAAACCCAATGAGGATCTAACACAGATAATCAACATATGAAAAAAATTATAGCAACCTCATTGTAAAAGGTCTATAGTCATATTCTTCCGATCTGGTACAAAAGTAAAATTACCACGGAATATCGAAGTGTGTGAGTATCAAAACACCCGAGTTTTTCTGCGAGTTTCCTTTCCCCGTCGCATACCCAAGGAGGAACTTCATTTTGCTCACCAATTCGCATTCGGCCCGAGTGATTAGTGCAAGAAGCACGATACATGACGTGGTCCTCATCGTTTCCTCCACTCGAATTGATTTGGTAGGCCTGTAAACCAGAAAAATTGTGACGAGGCTGAGGATACCACAGTGATAGTCGAATTGATTGTTTTCGTTGATTCATATCGCCCCAGAACACACAGGGAATCGGCTGACACATCAGGCCAAAGAGGGGAAGTCTTTCGCCGAGAGTAACCCGCATTCCAGGCAGTTGTTTCCTGCAAAATTGCAAGTGCTCTTAGGCAGATTCCGAGTAAGTAATTTAAATTTATTTAAATAACAACTTTAGGAGCTCTATTCCTCAAAAGATAAATGGAAGGGAATTTCTACCCAATTTCGCTTCCAGGAAAGTGCAAGAGGGACTGAAAGAAGACGAGCACGCCATGGAACGCTAAAGGAATTCATAAAACCAAAAGGGAATGAATAAAAAAAAAAGGGCTCATCACTGAAGTGTTGCTTTTTTCAAAAAATAGTACCACCCTAAATTGAAACTGTTGAACTCCACGGCCTTTATTCTCGAGCTCAGGACCAGACAACGCGTTACACCTACATTTTATCCAAATTCGTCAACCTTACCCCCCCCCTGGCCCGTCCTCGGTTTTTTTGATTCACTTCAACTTTCATGATGCGGCTTCCTTATCGGACGAACCCGCATGACTTGGATGAGGCAGCGCTTTTGGGTTTCATTTCTTTTCCCTCATTGTTCACGTCATGACTTCAATGCGCACTGGTGTCCTCAAAAGGACTATCGGTTGCATAATGATGACCTACACTCCCCCTGCAATTACTCCAACTTCCAACCCAAAAGGGATGGGAACACAAACATTGCTACAAAGAAAAAAATCCGTATACTCCTTCAGAGTTTTTCATTCCGCGACTTCATCGTTTCTGGAGTGCCTACCTGAATCACTGCGCATAACGATCGTTCCCTAAAGGATATGGAAAGTTCCATTCCACAGTTTTGACGAAAATCTTCACTGAAACCCAGCAGAATGTCATCAAGCCAGGGAAATCACGCCTGAAAAATGGTCAAGTCTTCACAACAACAGAGCAATCCCTCTGGAAATCATTTCTAGCAAAGGCCACGAATGCGTGTAGAAAAATATTGGGTTACCTTTGCCATCGTCATTCCGATTGAGAATGTGGACAAATATTCCAGGCTCAGATTCCAGGCTCGTGCGAGCCTGGAATCTTGGTCGATATACTGCAATTAATGCAGCACCGCGCTGAAGTCATGCTCGAAGAACTTCGCAGTTGTTGTTTGTCTTATGACGTGTTGAATGTTAATTCCCGGATTTGCTACGATGCCAAAACAGATGCAATGCATGAACTTCTGAATCAGTTGATGCTGATTATGACTAGAGGAATCTTTCCGAGATGGAAGCAGCCAATTTATTTTCAGTATGATGTAAATTTTGCCAAAAGGACCTATTCATTGCCATTTTAATTGCTATTGAGACAGCAGATTTTCCCGTCGTTGCAGTTGTCAGCGATCTCGGAGGACAAAGACATCATTGGGTGATTCTATGCCAATCCGCACACTTTTTTCACTGACCCCCCTTCCGATTTCTATTAAATTCAGCATGCTGATAGAACCTAGTGAGAAAAACAAACTACAACAAATTTCAGCGCCATACATGATGTATTCTGAGAATGACAATCACAAATTTGGCAGTTTTGGGGCACTTTGGGCCCAGGGATCACAATACTTGTCATAACTCCCTTAATATTGAAGATAGATGCGTGGATATAATATCATTGGATAGGTGATAAAATTCCCTATCAGATTATATGTAACATTCGGTGCTGAAAGCTATGATATTGGCCGACATTTTTTGTAATTATCTTGAAACTTGACTTGACCTGGACCTATGTCCCCACCGTCGATTTCGCTAAAATTTTAGGACGTCATCAGTCATAACCTCTTGTATGTACACCGCAAATTACACCTTGGGTTTTTTAGTATCAACGGAGATATGAGCTTTTCAGTGCTCCGGTATAACACAACAACGGAGCCATGGGCCTGTACCTGCATTGCACTTCACTTCGTGGCCATTCTTGGTTTTATTTTAGCTTCCTATCGGCAGAAATGCGGAAATAGCAGGCTTCTACGGCATATTATACCATCGAAGCTATGAGTTTCGCGCCGTTCTACAATTATTAGCAACTGGTACCATATTTAAAAAATATATTTTCTACGTAGATCGTCTAAAATTAAAGCTAAATAATCATTGCCATTTTTGACTC